AGCGTGAAGATGATACCAGCTTGAGAGTTCACACCTACGGCTGACACTAGCATTTTGCCAGAACCTGTAAATTTTGATAGGAGATTTAATTTTACACGTTTTTGGACTTTATAATTACCATTGACATATCTGTCAAAAAGATGCATCTCTATTGATGCATCCATACCGCAGTTATATGACAAATGCTCGTTTTCACCACCAATTCCTAATTTTTAAGTGACATATAACAGGACTTTTGTGTTTACCTTAATCGAAATTTCTGGATTTCATCATTAGTTTTCAAGGATTATATGACAACGCAACGAACTCCAGGACATGTCACTCTTGTCAACTATTTAGTCAAGTAAATTAGTGGTGTAATAATAATGTATGGCGTGTATTTTTGAGAGAGATACAAACCTTCCATAACGTGAGTACCGGATAGCACCATGGGATCAAAACTTTCACCCTTTTTAACATGGTCCGACTCGCCCGTCAGCGAGGATTCGTCGATCTGTAACATACAGAAACACACAAAATTAATAATCTAATTAATAAATTAGTAAAGGTAGCAGGAAGGCGCTGGACACAGGCCGCTACCAACCGAGCAACATGGAAAGCTTCGGAACCTGTTCTGACCGCGTCATCAGAGTGAGCGATGTATGGGATGGTTTTATTCAATACTTTGCGAATGAGGCAGGTATAATACATAAATAATTGTTAAATGTTCATAATTTGTGTTTCGCCCTCGAAGATTTTTTAAATTTGTGATTTCATTTGGTTCTGTTCCAAGGTAAGGCTCGACATTGACTCTTGGATTTCATTGATTTGTTTTTTCACTTCACTTTCATTGTTAGTGGGAAGCGAGAAATTGTGCTCATTCGATGATTTCATATCCGTCAGATGAATATTCATTTCGTTGTCGGCCGTTTGGTGTAGTGGTTCGAAACGGACTACTATTCCAGAGGTTGCGGGTTCGATTCCCGCACAGTACAAACATTTGTGTGCATGAACATATTTATTTGTATTGTGCTGGGTGTTTTCTATGTATAATATGTATGTATTTATAAAAAAAAGTATTTAAGTATGTTTATATCCGTTGTCTAGTACTCATAGTACAAGCTTTGCTTAGTTTGGGACTAGAAGCGCAGTGTAATATGTCCAAGGATATTTATTATTTATTATTATTTCTGAGACATTATCCAGAGTTGTTTGGTTTATAGTAACAAAATTTTCAAGTACATAGTTTAGAGATTCGTGCCATTTCGGAGCGTAAATCTTGGACGTCTCCACTGCAAGAACAGCCAAGGTCGTGTGGTTGTTTTCTTTTTCTGAAGGTAATCTGCGAGTCCGCTGCTTCGGGACCAATCCTACTATCCTACTATAATATTATAAATGCGAAAGTTTGGATGTCTGGATGTTTGTTACTCTTTCACGCAAAAACTACTGAACGGATTTTGATGAAACTTTACAGTATCATTGTTTATAACCCAGAGTAACATATAGGCTTTAAATTATGATGATCTGTGGCAAACGAAATTTCAAGCGGGTAAAGCCGCGGGCAAAAGCTAGTAGTGGATAAATCAGGTGTGGAACGGCACTCTTGCCCCGACGTTGATTTAATAGGTGAATGTAACAGGCTCGTTATTGCATAAGCTTGTCCACGGCTCAATAATATAATTTCTTACTTGTGTGCGCGCCGTTGTGTTCGGGTCTGGTTCGGGCGATGAGTCAGGCGAGCAGAAGATTCGCGTCGAAAAATACGGGCACTGATTTAAACGAATTTGATTTTTACAATTTAACGAATACAGTCGAATTTAAAATGCCAAATTATAGATTTTTTGTTAAGAAATCGGACACACGTCTGCCTTTGACGGCGTCGAACGACGAAATTATGTTCAGCAGTGGACGTCCTATGGCTGAGATGATGATGATGATTAAACACTACCTTTACGCCCGCGGGTTGTCCTGTCTAGACTACTAATCTCTTGTTTTTCTGTACAGACTTTGTACTCCCATTTCATCCCCTAGGGGGGTGAATTCTTCTTCTTGTCGTGTCAACATCAAACCTACACAATGTCAGCCCAAAATTCCGGCACAAGAAGCGTTGTCAGTAGCCATCACTAAATCTTTCTGCGTGCAGGGGGTGATTTTGGAAAATAGTTTCTTATGGACTGCATGTATCATAATAACTAATATGCTTGCCTAATTTTAGAAAATGTTGACGGTTATTACTACATTCAATGACTAATTTAGTCCTACTAATCCTACTAATATTACAAATGCGGAAGTTTGTATGGATGCAATGTCTGGATGTCAACATGTTTGTTACTCTTTCACGCAAAAACTACTGAACGGATTTCGACGAAACTTTAGGTACATTATTATTGTGTATAACCCAGAATAACATATAGACTATAATTTATGACGATATGTGACAAAACAAATTCAATAAATAAATAAGACGTGAGAAAAAGCGCCATCTATCAACATTGCTTTTGACGTTTGTAAATATTCATGCGGACGACGAAGCCGTGAAACGCCATCTATCAAGCGCTGTTCAAACTACTGCTTTTGACGTTCGTAAATAATATTGAAATTTTATTAAATAAAGAAATTTTATGTATTTGAATCACAGTGTAATATTGATTAAAACGGGGTAAAACGGGGTTCACGCGTACGAAGTCGCGGGCGGCCGCTAGTAATTATAATAATTATATCAGTCAGTACTGTCAGCGTTATTGGTCACGACATAAACATTGTTTTATTTAGCGGGCCCTAGAATTCTAATCATAGTAAACAAACGCTGGGTTTTTCCTGAAATATATCTAACAGTGCTAATATAATAACACATTTTTATCTATTTTCTAACCATGTAAGGCAAACAGTTATTTTTATTTCACAAGCTTCGGACGCCATGTTAATGTTAACACTGTGCCTTGTGTAGACGTCATTAGTGCTATTTTGTAAAAGAAAAAATGTATAACTTGATGACCTGTCGACTGTATACAATTAATCAAACAAATCTTAAGATAAAAATACTGCATTACTACAACTCTTATCAAACCTGTTATCTACTTGTGATATCTTCGTGATCAGTCGGGGGCGTACAGATTTATATTTAGCAAAAATGTTCTTTACATAGTAACACACTGAACGAATTTTGATAAGGATTCAACATTTGGAAGTTTTATAATACCTTTGACATAATTAGGTCACGTTCTCCAGTAGTATTTGTTACTAAATACATAGAAAGTGTTTAAGACTGGCGCTAATTAGTTTAGAACTTTTATTTCTTACTAGTAGACGAGTTGATTTCCGTTAAGTTCAAAACTTTAATTCCCATTTACCCCTTTTTAGGGGTTTCTCAAAAGTAATAAAGTGATTCCCTAGTACAGTTGACAGCAGAATTTACATATTTATTTCAAAATAACATCTATTACAAATTGTAAAAGATGCCTCAGTGTTAAGCTAGATGTACCTACCTACTTGGGGACAGCAAGGTGGGGGGTCATTTGAAATGTATTTCACCCGATATAATACTACATTACATAGTACAGCCACTAACAAATTACTCTTATTGTTGCAACATCGCAGCAATAAGTACAACAACTATTACTATATTTAATAGACATTATGGCAAACCCATCTGACCCATTTTATATGAAAATCAATTAGCAAAAAATGCAATATAAGTGGTGTGTACTACAATAATACCTGTCGGCGCCGATAACCCAATAAAGCGATATCAGCTATCTTATGACGCACGTCACAAATACNCTACGAAAAATCGTAGAACATACATGGGGGTGAAATCGATAGGTCTAGTCCTCACCTATCACCTGCCTTCGGCTTGACACCTTACAAGAAACACCCTGTATATTTATTTTTGAACTGTTTTATATGCAGTTTAGGTTGGTGTCCGTGACTTCCACTCGGCATGGGACACACTGAAAACCAGCGTCGTGACCTTCCCCACCGTGGGCCACGGCATATGCTGAGTGGAGTCCCATTGCGATGGGCATCGCTGTTGCAACACGGTGGCACTGCTCAGTTCACTTTTTATTTCCTTGTAATATTTATTTCTGTCTTTTTTCCGTATACTTTCTTTGTTCTCTAAGTGATGTTCATCGTAATAAATATTTCTTTCTTTCTAAATAAACACGTTTTTGGACTATATTATTACCATTGACATGTTCTACCTATCACCAATTCATTGACATATTTTATATCATCTGTCAAATAGATGCATCCATACCGCAGTTATATGACTAATGCCCGTTTTCACCATCAATCTCTATTTTTTAAGTGACCCCTATGGTAACATATAACACTAATTTTGGTTTTCATCACCTAAAAATTAGGGATTGATGGTGAAAACGGGCATACGTCTACCTTAATCGAAATTTCTTGATTTAATCATAAATTATCAAGGTTTAAATGACAACGTAACGAACTCCAGGACATGTCACTCTTGTCAACTATTTAGTCAAGAAAATAAGAGGTGTAATAATAATATGTATGGCGTGTATTTTTGAGAGAGATACAAACCTTCCATAACGTGAGTACCGGATAGCACCATGGGATCAAAACTTTCACCCTTTTTAACATGGTCCGACTCGCCCGTCAGCGAGGATTCGTCGATCTGTAACATACAGAAACACACAAAATTAATAATGTACGTATTAAACACACATCATAAAGGTAGCAGGAAGGCGCTGGACGCAGGCCGCTACCAACCGGGCAACATGGAAAGCTTCGGAACCTGTTCTGACCGCGTCATCAGAGTGAGCGACATATGGATGGTTATATTCAATACTTTGCGAATGAGCAGGCAGGTATAATACATAAATAATTGTTTAATGTTCATAATTTGTGTTTCGCCTCCCTCCTTCGAAGATTTTTTTAAATTTGTGATTTCATTTGGTTCTGTTCCAAGGTAAGGCTCGACATTGACTCTTGGATTTCATTGATTTGTTTTTTCACTTCACTTAAATTGTTAGTGGGTAGCGAGAAATTCNGATCTTTCAGATTTGCTGCCACACGGTGTTGGAACGACCTGCCACCTCCTTTGCGCAACCTGCAAACAAAACACACTTTTAGATCACATGTCAAGAAATACTTGCTCACGTCACAGAGGGCAGATGGCATTGTATCGCATACCTATATGTCGTCGTCGCGCTTGCAGGGGTTGACGGGTCGATCCCGCCGTAATTAACAGTCAGATGGCTTATGGGACAGCTTCAGCATGGTCGCTTTATCTCTCTCGGCCGAAGTCTGGGCGCGCCCTGTGGAGTATGATCACAGTGATGGTTGATCTTTGTTGTGCGATACATGTTACACGTGCTTTACTGGCACAAATTACTTTGGACTCACCAGGGGACTTTGCGCGTCGTGCTCGCCGTAGTTGCTCGCTCCTCTTACTCCATATAATAGCATCTGCCCTGCAGGACGTGTGTCACATTTTGCACCTCACACCTTTCCGGTTTCCGCCGGGTTTTGTTTTGTTGTTTTGAGACGCTTCGCACAGTAAAAATTTTCGCATCAACAATAAAGCACGTATTTCATAACAAATCAGAAAAACACAGCGTCCAGCGTCCTTTCCAATTGACTTTTTCTTTTTTTATTGTTCTTTTCTCTTTTTTACGGTCCGAATCAACNACTGTTTCTTGGACTGTTATGTTGGCAGGTTTGATTCTTACAGTACCTAGTGCAAGCGAAAACCGACACTAAGGTGACGAACCTTTTCATTCCGCGACTGTACCTACCTACTTGGGGACAACAACCAACCTACCAACAAGGTGGGTCATTTGAAATGTATTTCATCCATATAATAGTACAGCCGCTAACAAATTACTCTTATTGTTGCAACATCGCAGCAATAAGTACAACAACTATTACTATGTATTTAATAGTCATTATGGCAAACCCATCTGACCCATTTTATATGAAAATCAATTAGCAAAAAATGCAATATAAGTGGTGTGTACTACAATAATACCTGTCGGCGCCGATAACCCAATAAAGCGATATCAGCTATCTTATGACGCACGTCACAAATCTGATAAGCGTCAAATATAGAAATTATTGCTACCTGTCAGAGATTAATATAACGATAAATTTACTGGCTGGCGATACATGAGCGCGCTGTTTACGTTTATTCTGCCATTACTTTTCAGAAATAGTCGTTTAGTAAAAAAAATGCATCGAATTACAACGTCAGCGGGGATTGCAGGTTCGAATTTGGCTAAGGGCAGATGACACTGTGATGAGCATATTGCCTCATACACTGTAGCGTTTGTTATTTGGCAGTCTAAAAATACCATTATTTTGCTACAAAACTGTATGTTATTCTGATGTGTTGTTGACTGTAAGTACATGTATCTCGAAGTCGATACTTCATTTCGAACTCCTATGTTCTTCTGATACAACGTAAACGAACTAAAGTTGCTGACATAGCCCGACGGATTAGCAAGCAGAAGTGGCAATGGGCAGGGCACATAGTACGCAGAACTGACGGCCGATGGGGCAGCAAGGTTCTGGAGTGGAGGCCGCGTACCGGAAAACGCAGCGTAGGACGTCCACCCACAAGGTGGACCGAACATATACATACACCACTAAATTTGATAAAAATTTAGTGGTGTATAGATAGCGGGAAGGCGCTGGATGCAGGCCGCCATCAACCGGCCATTGTGAAAATCATTGGGGGAGGCCTATGTTCAGCAGTAGACGTCCTATGGCTGAAATGATGATGATGATGAAGCGTTCTCACCTTGAGATCGTTGCTCTGCAGCAGTATTCCGTCAGCCGGCAGCAAGTCCCCATACTTGATCTGGCATATGTCACCGACGACTATCTCGCTTATCGACACCTGCTTCACTTCGCTTCCCCGGATAACGGAGAACTTGTGTTCGCCCTCTATCCGGGATTGTAGACCTCTGCAAAGAAATAGTTCATTATTAATATAGGGTGTACATTGTGTACGGTTTAGGTATAAGTAACTGTGAGGCAGTCAGTCTGTCAACTTTTTCATTACAATCGTGTGCTTAGGCACACTTTGGCCAATTTAAATAATCTATGACTATTTGTAAAAGGGAAAAAAATATCCATCAGCATTTCTAAAGAGGTTTCCGTCAGGTAACTCTATTAAATCCAGGACCTCTCCCAGTATAATTTAATTCTAGTGCATCTGACTGAACTCTGGAAAGTGAAATTCCTAGATTGCCATTGATTAGTCACGATTGGTATTCCCAGTCAACTGTAATTGCCAGATTAATAGGGTTGCAACGTCATTATTTGGTAACACAAGAGAGACATTGTATTTTGAATCTGAGCTTGGATTTAAGTGTATTTTTGTCAATCTACTAGTAGTTCCATAATCCTAAAACTGAGACTTCACTGAGGGAGAAGTTACCACCATATTTTTCTTCGCCATATTCTAGTTTCAAAGTAAAAAAAACAATGTTAAATTTGGACATGTTCCGACCGTGACCCGCTCAATTAAAGGTTAAGGAGCAAGAAATCTATATATATAAAAGAAAGTCGTGTTAGTTACTTCGCTTATAACTCAAGAACGGCTGAACCGATTTAGCTGAAAATTGTCAGGGAGGTAGTTTAGAGCCAGGAGAAGGACATAGGATACTTTTTATCCCGTTATTTATTGCCATTAAGGCGGAACAAAGTTCGCCGGGTCAGCTAGTTTTGAATAAATGACAAAAACTTACCTGAATTGCCTTTCTTTCGTGTAATCGTTGAACGCTGTGACTATTACGACGACTATGACCGATATTAAGATCGCCAGACCTTCGATCCATTGGTAGTGGCCCTCCTCCTCGTCCAAATGTGCTGGAAGAATACAACAGGTTACGTTAGAGATATACCTTTCAGAGAGACGTTAATTAATATTAATTTTATAGCGTAGGTAAATAATTAAAGCAAGGATTATACTGGTGGGAAGTATGGTAGCGATGCAACCCTACATACTACTAGATGTTTGAGATTGGCGGTCTTATTCTAAATATTTTCTTAAACAATAACAAAATTACACACAACATTAATCTGATACATTCAGAGTAAAATTGCTTGTAGATTCTGAGACTTATTACTAAGACTAAAAACTTATGTTTCATTTAAATGAGACAGCAAGATTAATACAAGTTTAATAATTATAAAGCAGTGTAATTTAAATTCTTTTGTTTTAGAAGTTATTTTAAACGTCATTAAATCTCCAAGTAATGTTATCACGACAATCTATTAAAAATTGCTTTTAAAGCGTGATTTAATAAATCTGTAATAACTAAAACAAATGTCCAATCAAAGGGTTTCTGTCATCAATTTAGTTTTAACTCTTTTTATACAATGAAAAAAGGAGATATACTGAAAATATTTTTATAGATAACATGAAGAGAAAAATCTTGCTCCCAAAGAACTATTTCTAGAACACCACTAAATAAAATAGAAGATAGAGAAGGTTTAGATAGAAGTGAGTAATTTCAGTATTTATTAGGATATAGATATTTATTATCATGCGGTAGTAATACATTTTAAAAAGCTCGTATTCAGGAACGACACAAAAATCGATCATTTAGATTTTAGACAAATGTTAAATACTTCAGTTTTTTCCAGAATACGGGCATAACTATTATTTCTTTATATTTTAAGTTTATTTGCGCAACTTTGTTTATTCTTAGTTTTGCAACATTATTATCAATTTACTACATTATGAACTGGTAGCTTAGATGTCTAAAATAATACTTGATCGTTGAATAGGTAAATCCTAGAGTAAATAAACAAGGTAGCGGTAATAACAACAGTATTAATTAGTAATTAATAGGATAGAAATAGCAAATGTGTATAATGTATATTGGATCATAGGTATATTTTGTTATGTTATATTAATACAAAGATTTGAGAAGGAAGGAAATACTGGGTAAATCAGACATTAATAATAAGAGCAGTTACTATAAACATGAGTTGTATATGTGTCAAGTTGTAACGAGTTTTTCCTTGTTCTTCTATGATGATAATAGACTAAATCAGTATTTTGTGTTGATATCTCCAGAAATTAGTGGCATTAGTGATAACATTCAGCATTGAAGAGATAGGGATTAGGGTACGGCAATACTAACTGATAAAACAACATTCCGTTCTTATAAAAAAAGTTTGTAAGTATGTTTGTTAGAAACTAAGAAGTTATCTTTGAAACTACAGAAAGATTTCTCCAAAATCTTGTAAATATAGAAATCAATACAATATTCAATGACAATGATGATCAGCTTTGCTAAACAGCAGCTGATGTAAAAAACTATGTAAGGAATGATATTGATCATAAAGAAGTTATTTCTGAGACAACTCAAAATAATCATGGGAGAGGTCATGGTCATGTTCATGGTCATTTTCAAAAGTGTGAATTATTTCGATAGACTTCTTATACTAGAACTAGAACACCAGTTTTCAGCTCAGCTTTTCATCACATGGAAAACCCTTGCCTCTCGTCTGTAGAGGTAAAATCGGAGTATTACAGGCGCCGATCGCCACACTTCATTTGAACGCGGCAAAACGGCGCGGTAATCGCCATTATTAATTCAATTTACACCGCGCCCCGTGTCGGACTGAATAAAGTGCTGGGGATGCGATTGGGATCGTCGATAAATTAATCGATTTAAAATAACTCAATTAAAGTGAGAATATAATTTTTTAAAATAAAGTAATAATAAACAATAAACAATTTTGGATAAGGACATCATTCAAAGCTGTCTCTATTTGGATCAGACGAGCCACAGACGAAAGAGGCAAAATCGGACCTTACAGGCGCCGATCGCAACACTTCATTTGAACGCCGTAATTGCCATTATTAATTCAATTTACACCGCGCCCCGTGTCGGACTGAATACCCCTTGGATCTCTATGCGAACGAGAAGTGCTGGGGATGCGATTGGGATCATCGATAAATTAATCGATTTAAAATAACTCAATTAAAGTGAGAATAGATTTTTTTTAAATAAAGTGGCTAATTTTGGATAAAGACATCATTCAAAGCTGTCTCTATTTGGATCAGACGAGCCACAGACGAAAGAGGCAAAATCGGACCTTACAGGCGCCGATCGCAACACTTCATTTGAACGCGGTAATTGCCATTATTAATTCAATTTACACCGCGCCCCGTGTCGGATTGAATACCTATGGGATCTCTATGCGAACGAGAAGTACTGGGGATGCGATTGGAAATATCGATAGTTTATTCGATTCAAATTAAAAGAGGTCAATCGCAAATGAAAAATATAGGTCGCGCAACGTAACTTGGGTCGTCACGCTGATGTAATATTTGAATACAGTACAGACAAATCAGTCAGAATACAAAAGACGTCAGCGCGACAAGCGTATAAGATGCAAATCTTAGCTTTGATCGCCTGATCTCTTGCTGCGAGACCGAATTTTAAAAAGATGGGGTTAATTTTGGATTAGAAATGTTCTTATTGATAGATACTACAAGCTAGCTGAATGAATCTGATTGGACAGAACAAACCGGCTCTAAATGGGATCGATTTTCAGACAAGAACAATGATTTCGTGCTTCAATGGACATTTTTAGCCGTTAGCCGAGCCGTGTGGAGGGTCTACCTATATTTAGACGTCTATAAGTGCCCGG